ACACTTGCACTGAGACACTGAAGTGGAACACTTGCACTGAGACACTGAAGTGGAACACTTGCACTGAGACACAGAAGTGGAACACTTGCACTGAGACACAGAAGTGTAACACTTGCACTGAGACACAGAAGTGTAACACTTGCACTGAGACACAGAAGTGTAACACTTGCACTGAGACACAGAAGTGTAACACTTGCACTGAGACACAGAAGTGTAGCACTTGCACTGAGACACAGAAGTGTAACACTTGCACTGAGACACAGAAGTGTAACACTTGCACTGAGACACAGAAGTGGAACACTTGCACTGAGACACTGAAGTGGAACACTTGCACTGAGACACAGAAGTGGAACACTTGCACTGAGACACAGAAGTGGAACACTTGCACTGAGACACAGAAGTGTAACACTTGCACTGAGACACAGAAGTGTAACACTTGCACTGAGACACAGAAGTGTAACACTTGCACTGAGACACAGAAGTGTAACACTTGCACTGAGACACAGAAGTGGAACACTTGCACTGAGACACAGAAGTGTAACACTTGCACTGAGACACAGAAGTGTAACACTTGCACTGAGACACAGAAGTGTAACACTTGCACTGAGACACAGAAGTGTAACACTTGCACTGAGATACAGAAGTGGAACACTTGCACTGAGACACAGAAGTGGAACACTTGCACTGAGACACAGAAGTGTAACACTTGCACTGAGACACAGAAGTGGAACACTTGCACTGAGACACAGAAGTGGAACACTTGCACTGAGACACAGAAGTGGAACACTTGCACTGAGACACAGAAGTGGAACACTTACACTGAGACACAGAAGTGGAACACTTGCACTGAGACACAGAAGTGGAACACTTGCACTGAGACACAGAAGTGTAACACTTGCACTGAGACACAGAAGTGGAACACTTGCACTGAGACACAGAAGTGGAACACTTGCACTGAGACACAGAAGTGGAACACTTGCACTGAGACACAGAAGTGGAACACTTGCACTGAGACACAGAAGTGGAACACTTGCACTGAGACACAGAAGTGTAACACTTGCACTGAGACACAGAAGTGGAACACTTGCACTGAGACACAGAAGTGGAACACTTGCACTGAGACACAGAAGTGGAACACTTGCACCGAGACACAGAAGTGTAACACTTGCACTGAGACACAGAAGTGTAACACTTGCACTGAGACACAGAAGTGGAACACTTGCACTGAGACACAGAAGTGGAACTCGCTGAAGACAGACTTTAGAACAACATAAGTAATAATGTGAAGAAAAAATTATATTTTTAATGTTTCCCGGGAAATGAAAGACACAGACTTAGAAGCAGCGACTCGAAACCCACAAAATTAAACAGGCAATTACATTATTCCCTTCCTCCCCTTCCTCCCCTTCCCCCACACAATAAAAAGCCTCAAAGGTATGTGGACAAATTTCAGAAGTGGTCAGATAAGTGGTTGTTTGAATTCAATCCCGGCAAATACATGGTCATGAATACGGGGAAAGGTGCAAGAAGACCGGAAACGGGTTATGGACTAAGGAGAGGGGAGACAAAGGCTGCGGACTCACTTTGAGAGAAAGGCCTAAGGGTGAGCATAGCGCCCAGCATATCGCCAGAGGTTCAAGTCAGCCGAATAATCTCTTCATCCATTGCTCTTCTGGCAACTCTAAGAGTAGCCTTCAGGAATCTCAATGAAGAGCCATTTCGTGCACTTCAAACAACATATGTTAGATCCATCTTGGAGTACGCAGCACCAGTATGGAACCCACGCCTGAGAAGGCATATTAAGAAACTAAAGAATAACTAAAAAAGGCACAATACCTTGACTGGAACGATACACAAAAAACCCGCACATAGAAGAGAGGAGCTTACGACGACGTTTCGGTCCGACTTGGACCATTTACATTGTGACTTTGTAAATGGTCCAAGTCGGACCGAAACGTCATCGTAAACTTCTCTTTTCTATAAGCGGGTTTTTTGTGTAAACTAGAGAAAATACAAAAGCAAGCAACAAGGCTGGACCTTTGAGGAAACACTAACGAAACTGGACCTAACGATACTGAAAGAGGGAAAAGCCAGGGAGGACATGATAACAACATATAAAATAGTCGAGGGGAATTGATAAGGTAGATAGCGATAGGCCGCGTGAGAGGCTAGAAACGGGATCTCAGGGACACAGCTGGAAGCTAAGGTACAGATAAACCACAGGAATATCAGGAAGTATTTCTTCAGTATTAGAGTTGTCAGGAAATGGAATAATCTGGAGAGTGAAGTGGTAGAGGCAGGATCTACACCATCACCACACCATCACCACACACGACCCACAGCCACACTCCACCACCACACACGACCCACAGCCACACTCCACCACCACACACGACCCACAGCTACACACCACCACCACACACGACCCATCACACACGACCCACCATACACTACCACCACACACGACCCACCACACGCAACCCACCACACATCACCACCACACACGACCCACCACACACGACCCACCACACACGACCCACCACACACGACCCACCACACACCACCACCACACATGACCCACCACACACGACCCACCACACACCAAAACCACACATGACCCACCACACACGCCCCACCACACACAACCCACCACACACCACCACCACACATGACCCACCACACACGACCCACCACACACGACCCACCACACACCACCACCACACATGACCCACCACACACGACCCACCACACACAACTCACCACACACCACCACACACACACGACCCACCACACACGACCCACCACACACGACCCACCACACACGACACACCACCACCACACATGACCCACCACTCACGACCCACCACACACGACCCACCACACACCACCACCACACATGACCCACCACACACAACCCACCACACACCACCACCACACATGACCCGCCACACTAGAACAACATCCCGGGAAACAATATAACTCGCATTTGTCTTTGTTTCCACAAACACATCGAGCAAGAAAACGGCAGTAATATCCTGTTGTCATGACAGAGAAAATACAACAAAGAATACACACCGCGAGGTGTATATCGTACTTTGATTCCCATTTTAGGTATCAAAATATTCGTGACTCACGATGAAGAGGTTACCAGGCCCGGTGGCCTGGTGGCTAAAGCTCCCGCTTCACACACGGAGGGCCCGGGTTCGATTCCCGGCGGGTGGAAACATTTCGACACGTTTCCTTACACCTGTTGTCCTGTACACCTAGCAGCAAATAGGTACCTGGGTGTTAGTCGACTGGTGTGGGTCGCATCCTGGGGGACAAGATTAAGGACCACAATGGAAATAAGTTAGACAGTCCTCGATGACGCACTGACTTTCTTGGGTTATCCTGGGTGGCTAACCCCCCGGGGTTAAAAATCCGAACGAAATCTTATCTTATCTTACCATAGTCTTAATGACCTTCGTGTAGTCGACAGGCTTTAAACCCCATTACCCAACCAATCAAGAACAAAGGATAGGCAATATAATTGTTCTTTGGGTAACTTGGTTCAGGGAAAGAACAATAAGAATGTATGTTTGTGGTGATGGTGGGAAGGCGGCTTGAGTCCTCCTGAAGGTCGACTGCTGCTTCCTGTTACCTGAGCGGAGTACGTTATAAGCAAGTAATTAAGTTTTCTTAAGTACATGAAGGTAAGTACAAGTGGCATAAAGAACAAGAATGTACAATACCGTGACTGGAACAATACACAAATAGCTCGCACATAGGAGAGAGGAGCTTACGACGACGTTTCGGTCCGACGTGGACCATTTGGTGGACCACTTACAAATGGTCCACGTCTGACCGAAACGTTGTCGTATGCTCCTCTTTCCTATGTGCGGGTTATTTGTGTAGTGTCATACACAGTAACATGTGCAAAATAACCACAGTGAAAAAATAGTGAAATTCCGAGTGCTTCGGTGATTTCTCACACTATTACGAAAGCACTATTTTTTCGCTGTGGTTATTGTGCAAATTGTGATATCACCTGTGTACTGTGTAAATTACCTAGGATAACAAAAAAAAAGTAGTCAGTGACTTATTTCCATTGTTATGGAGTCAATTAAAGTTCCAACGGTTGGCAGCATGCTAAACACACTGAAGTCAGCGAGATCATAGAAAGAAGACTTGTTAGAGGTGTGTGTCTAGCCAGGAAAGAGCCTCGTTCTTTGCTACCCAGTATCCTGGGTATATCTGGCAGCTGCCCTGGCCGGATCACATTATATCCCTGGAAGATTGTACTTAATGACTATATCCAACTGCTGATCAAAGGAAAGATCACAAGCTCAAAAAGTATGAAGGCTTGGCTCACCAGTTCCACTTCGTCCGTATAGGACAAGAGACCCCTTGGTTCTAGCCTCTTGAAAACTACGAGACCCGAAGCCTGTCACCTTTCTTTTCCAGAATGTCTTGTGGCGACCCAGAGAGGAAATGTCTGCTGCATCTTGCGTTCTCCATCGACGTCTGAGGATCTCCAGCAGCTCCACAACTTAAATCAAGAAGCGTCCACAGTCTTTGCATGCCTGCAAAAAATAAAATGCAGGTTCTGCAATAAAAATCATTGTAAATTATATCATGTAGGGTTAATCAGTTTAAAAACGTAAATAGCGTCGTAGGTCTGTAGCAGCAACCCTTCCCTCACAACCGAAGGACTCGGATTCGATCTTGGGCGTGAGGAGACTATTTACGTCTTGTATGTGCTGCTCCTAATCAATTAGAATTAAATAGGTGCCTGTGTTCTAGTCACCTGCTGAGTGTCATCCTGGGTGGTAGTAGTGTACAGAGGACTGAGCTCTGACATGAGCTGAGATGGAACAGCAGCTCTTACATTGTAAATTTTGCTTAGTTATCAAGGATAATAAATATACAACATACATTATAGATAATAAGACGTGAACTAAAATTGTGGCAACTTTGGTTGATTGTCTGCTGGTGCGTCAACATGTCGGGTCTGAGTCTGCCGTAGAGCTTCAGTTGCTCTCAGGAACTGAACGTGTGAGGGTATTACACTTGTGCTCTCTCCTACCACTACCCATGTACCCTCGCTAGTGTAATCCTGTCTCGCTCACTTGAAGTAAAGGTAGTCTCAATTATTCCACTGAGTTGGCTGACATAAAAGGAATTGTGAAATACGTCTATGGCTTCCAGTGAGTGACGGTTGAGAAAAATCACTTCCAATACGCTAGTTTTCCTACTTAACTCAGCGAGTATATACAACTGACAGCTGCTCAATTCAGCCAACAGACAGCACTGACAGTTTCTTCTCTTTAATCTTTGCCAGGTAAGTGCTTCTGATATTGCTTCATATCTCAAGGTGTCATATAGACAACACATGACATTGACAACATCCTCGCTCTTATCTACCTTCCGATCTCTCTGAAGAACGATAATGGTAATGCCTCTTGACGTCCACACTTTAAAAACGCAATCACAATAAAGACGTCAACACAAAATGACGTCAACATCTTCAAGTTCAAAGCTGACGTGTAAGACAAACTCATAATCGCATCCTGGCGAACATCAGTGATGTTGGGGGATTATTGTCTTGGAAGGCTTGCGAATGTTATAGATGTGTGAATACATTAGGTAGGACAGGTTTGACTAGCCTGGGGGAGGGTGACAAGTCTTGTGACCGGGTGTAGCAAGTGTGCCAAGCCGGTGTAGACACAGTCAACAGGAGGGTGAGTTGGGGTGTAGTAGGGAGGAAGCATCGATCGTAGTGGTCGCCGCTGCAGCTTCTACGAGAGACGGGGACGCCCTTCCCTGGACTGACTGCCACTTAATGTATTAAACATCCCATAAATGTTGCAGGCTGCCCCATGGTGAACAGGCTGACACAGCCTGAGTCAGGGACTTACTATTTTCAGAGATGAGAAAGGGTGGCAGTGTGCCAAACTAGACTGCCAGCTCCCCCTCCCCCCCCTTTCACCAGGCCTATAAGGCACCGCCCACTCACCTCTTCCTAAACGAATTACTGTCAAGAAGCATACTTATGATTTTTCATATTCCAGTTTTTATCTATTAAATCACCCATTTCAGTTATTATCCTATTGTGTGATTTTTTTAATGAGATAAAGCTATTTTATTCTTAACCAACAATGTTAATTTTAATAGGAAAAAAATGTCCTTAAAAATAATGAACAAAAAGGCACAATACCGTGACTGGAATAATACACAAATAACCTGCACATGGGAGAGAGGAGCTTACCACGACGTTTCGGTCCGACTTGAACCATTTACAAAGTCACACTAACACTGTTAACAGTAATTATATGCTAACGTATGGCGTCCCTGACATACACCAGTGTCATTGTGACTAAATGTTCCAAGTCGGACAGAAACGTTGTCTTAAGCTTCTCCCTCCAGTGTACGGGTTATTTGTGTATTGTCCTTAAAAATGCTCGGGTGAGTCTATATATATATCAAGTCAAAGTAAGGTTTTACACAGAGGAGAGTTAGGTGTTGTCCTAAGTCCTATTTACCAATGCGTACTGTCATTGATGCCAGATTGCGTCACAGGGTGGGTACATAATATCCCTCCATATACCACCTCTCGCTATGTACGCTATTAACACCGCTGACGCATTGGCTATTGTTGGCGTCTCGCTTTTGTCATATTTTTTTTTTTTGTCTGAGTGGCTGTGTTGACATGCACCACGTGTCCGGGATGACACTTACTCATATATGGTAAAAAAAAGTGACCATGTGCAGAGTAAATCTTTATGAAAGTACGTTTCGCTCTGAGAAGAGCGAAATGTCGTGTATATTTATCTTTTTAACACATTCCAGGCCCCTCAAGGGAGGTTCCTTGACGCTGGTGAGGGGCTCTTGATCTAGGGAATTGAATCTGTGCTCCGGTTCCCTGAATTGAGCCTGAATACCTTTCATCCCCCCCACATGCGCTGTATAATCCTACGGGTTTATCGCTTCCCTGTGATTGTAATAATAATAATAACACATTCCAGGTACGAATGATTGATATAGCAGGAAAAGGACAATGTGCAGAGTAAATCTTGATAATACTACGTTTCGCTCTAAGAAGAGCGACATAATCTTGCACAATTATCTGTCAACAAATTGCAAATACGAACGAGTGATGTTTCAGGGTTATGTTCACTGTGCGCGACGCATTGTTACATGAAACACAAAGGTAATAAATGACACAGTTTTTTGCTCTGCTGTACTCTAGGGGGGTCAGTATGACTCTCACTTTGTATGTTCGGCTTCACCACAGCGAGAGTTCTTTTTTCGTAGACGAGAGCTGTGAAAAGGCTCATCCAGAATCGTGTAGCGTGAGGAAAGACCTTTTATATGTCGCGGTGTTGAATATTGGTTGAACTTTTTCTATGATATTTACAACGGGAAAAAACGACACTGTGTAGGGAAGCTTTGTGAGAGAGCTTACGTTATTCACATATACAAAAATCACACTATATAAAGAGGAGCTTTCTAAACGAGTTTATAGAAATGTGTAAAATTTTGGATAATTATGTTTTAGGGCACCATGACTGTACACAACCTAGTTTTAATTTTTTTTAAATTAAATGAAGAAATACCACCATGGTAGTAAGATAAGATAAGATTTCGTTCGGATTTTTAACCCCGGAGGGTTAGCCACCCAAGATAACCCAAGAAAGTCAGTGCGTCATCGAGGACTATCTAACTTATTTCCATTGGGGTCCTCAATCTTGTCCCCAGGATGCGACCCACACCCAGGTACCTATTTGCTGCTAGGTGAACAGGACAATAGGTGTAAGGAAACGCGTCGAAATGTTTCCACCCGCCGGGAATCGAACCCGCGTCCTCTGTGTGTGAAGCGGGAGCTTTAACCATCGGGCCACCTAAGTTAGGATTCCATTAGTGGGAGAACAAAACAGGAGAGTCAAGCCTCGCCAACATGCGACAAGACTTGGCAGTGTTATCTGAGGACTAGCAGATTTAGATTTTAGATTTTGCCAACGAAGTGGCTAGTTTATTATGCACCCCATATCCATCCTGTGGAGGGTAGCGCAAGAGCATATGGATACACAAAAGACCTAGGAACTAGGCCCCTAAAGGGTTACAGGTGTACATTTGGATTTATATCTACAGTTCATTTATCTGTTACAAGCAAATTTAGGAAATTTGCTTAGTATATCTGGTATCTTATTTTCATTAATATCTTGACATGTCACATAGGTTATTATACTGTCAGTCACTTTGTTTGACTTTTTGGGGTTATCCTAGGTAATGCACACATGTTACTGCGTTAAATAATTGTACTTGTGTGATCCTGTACCTGCATAAACGTACTTACCTACTTGCTTACTTACAGTACCTGGGTAATTTTATTTCACCTAGTGGCATTATCAGATTCAGTACAGAGATGATATATACGGAAAGTAGAAAGCGAGGTAATCAGTCCCTCAGCCTTGCAGAACCGTACACAGAAGACATTGGCGGATGAGATAATCAGTTCCTCAGCCTAGGCGTCGTGTTTAATTTTTAAGAGCGTCGTTATTTTTTTTTCTTGGCAATTGTCTTAAGCCTTAACTTATGCGTAAATTTATTTAGGATAACCCAGTAAAGTCAAATACTGAGACTTATTAACCTAGGATAACCCAAGAATGTTAAATATTGACTTATTAACCTAGGATAAACCAAGAATGTTAAAACTTGGACTTATTAACCTAGGATAACCCAAGAAAGTTAAATATTGACTTATTAACCTAGGATAAACCAAGAATGTTAAATACTGTGACTTATTAACCTAGGATAACCCAAGAATGTTAAATATTGACTTATTAACCTAGGATAAACCAAGAATGTTAAATACTGTGACTTATTAACCTAGGATAACCCAAGAATGTTAAATATTGACTTATTAACCTAGGATAAACCAAGAATGTTAAATACTGTGACTTATTAACCTAGGATAACCCAAGAATGTTAAATATTGACTTATTAACCTAGGATAAACCAAGAATGTTAAATACTGTGACTTATTAACCTAGGATAACCCAAGAATGTTAAATATTGACTTATTAACCTAGGATAACCAAGAATGTTAAATATGTGACTTATTAACCTAGGATAAACCAAGAATGTTAAATATTGACTTATTAACCTAGGATAAACCAAGAATGTTAAATACTGTGACTTATTAACCTAGGATAACCCAAGAATGTTAAATATTGACTTATTAACCTAGGATAAACCAAGAATGTTAAATACTGTGACTTATTAACCTAGGATAAACCAAGAATGTTAAATACTGTGACTTATTAACCTAGGATAAGCCAAAAATGTTAAATATTGTGATTTATTCCCGCTGAGGTCCTTGTGCTACAAGAATATAACATAGTAATCAATTTGTTACTTGATCATACTCTTGATGGTACACAATACCGACCAGTTAATGAACGAGATACGTTAGCAACACTTGGGTATCTTTATTGCCGACATATTTTTCCCTCACCACAGGCGAAACGTTTCGACTGCAGGCGAATACAAAACTGGAGACTAGCTGTAGTAGTTTTGACGTAGTCAGCCCATCACTCTGGGTAGGTTACCTGGAGGTTATTCCGGGGATCAACGCCCCCGTGGCCCGGTCCATGGCCAGGCCTCCCGATGGATCAGGGCCTGATCAACTAAGCTGTTACTGCTGGCCGCACGCAGTCCAATGTACGAGCCACAGCCCGGCTGATCCGGCACTGACTTTAGGTATCTGTCCAGCTCTCTCTTGAAGGCAGCCAGGGGTTTATTGGTAATTCCCCTAATGCTTGATGGGAGGCTGTTGAACAGTCTTGGGCCCCGGACACTTATGGTGTTTTCCCTTAGTGTACCAATGGCGCCCCTACTTTTTATTGGGGGCATTTTGCATCGCCTGCCCAGTCTTTTACTTTCGTAGGGAGTGATTTCTGTGCGCAGATTTGAGACCATTCCTTCCAAGATTTTCCAAGTGTAGATTATGATATATCTCTCCCTCCTGCGTTCCAATGAGTACAAGTCAAGTGCTTCCAAGCGTTCCAGTAGTTAAGGTGCTTGACAGAACTTATACGTGCAGTAAAGGATCTCTGTACACTCTCTAGATCTGCGATTTCACCTGATTTGAATGGAGATGTTAATGTACAGCAGTATTCCCGCCTAGAGAGAACAAGTGATTTGAAAAGGATCATCATTGGCTTGGCATCTCTCGTTTTGAAAGTTCTCATTATCCATCCTATCATTTTCTTTGCACGTGCAATCGTGACACTGTTGTGATCCTTGAAAGTGAGATCCTCAGACATTACTACTCCCAGG